CTAAAACTATTCCCAAATTAATTTTTTTTCATCATTTAGTACTTGTTTTAAATCTTTTCTTTCCCTTTAACGAAGGAATGCGCCGCCGTACGCAATCTCAAACGAAGAATATAATCGTTTGGACTATGCCATGTCCACTCACGAAATAGACTTCTTGTATAAATTGAAGTTGATGCAAGCTTCGAGTAATCTGTACAAGCTGCGTAATTATTATACACTTGTGCAACAGAGCCTGAATCCTTCCATCGATCGCGTGGCAGCTGAAATCCTCTGCCTCTTGCATGCGCTCATTCCGCAATTTGCGGTCAAAGCGGACAATTTCAAGCGCGGTGTTAACACGATACTGGAGTCACATAGCCCCGTTCTAAAATCACAAACCCGGGTTGCGTATCACTCACATGTTTATCAAATAAAAGTAAGCGGTTTAATACAATGTTATTAAATACTTTCAAACCTTTTTCCCTGACAAGAGTCGCCTAAGAAAGTAGTTATTTATGAAAATGTAGAGGTACGACTTCGATGTTATTGCTCATTGATTTTTTTTACTAGAAACTCTTTAAACAATAAAACGTTCCTAAATGATAAATATATAGTACGAATAAATAGCTATTCACTTATGGGTGGTGGAACTGTCCTATCTTCAAACCCCGTTTAAAATGCATTTCCTGTATTATAAAACAATCAGTTGATAAGATGGGAGAAATAATATAGAAGCTGCGTGCAATGTATGGTTTCAGTTGCATAAACTAAAGTAACAGTTTTCGCTCAGGATTTGCCTGGCTTAGTGAAGTAATAGGCTAACGGCGCGTTCCACCATATTTCCGAGTTACGGAGTGCCTAATTCTGTGAAAGATCAAGGTCTTACTGTTTATGCCGTCAACTGGCAGGTGGTCGCTGGAAAATCATGCGATATCAAGAGTGTATATAAATGAGTTTTATTAATTAATGTAAATTGCGTAATGATAACACTTGAATTGTAAGATTTGCGTGAGGTTTGCAAGAATGAATTGGGACTTCAACATCTGCAAGAATCATAAATAATTCAAAAAATAATTATCCGGTGGGCAATAGCATTGTTGACGGAAGCAATTTTCAGCAAGTGAAATGAAGAAACAGCAATAAATGAAATACATAAAAACATTTGTTTCTTCTGCCATAAATTTGATCTATCACAGAGCAGGATTGTGAAATTAAGAACAACTAAATAATGAATGTTGTGCTTCAACGAAAATTTTAGTCATGTATATTTGTTTATTGTTGTTTATTCACAAACAATAGCATACAACGCAATATAATAGAAAGAAACATGAGGTAAAATAGCAAAAGTTTCCGACTGAATGCCCATATGCTAAAAAATCTTTGCAGGATGCAAGGTGGCCTTTTAACCCCATTCAAATGATAATATGATAATGATTAGAACGACAGAGTTTCCAAAATAATCACATCCATTGCAAAAACCTCAAGAAAACTGATAATATCATGTCACAACAAGCAAGAATTTTAGAGACAAAAACAGCATTACACTAGAAAATTGGATGCAATTGAATAATATGCGTTCAAAATTACTTTTTAACGACAACACTTCTAAAGAATTCAGGGTTATCATCAAATATTAAAAAAAGTCTTTTTTAAATTTTATTTTTAAAGTTGAAAAAAATTCAATTTTTCAAATTTATTTATTCTGTCAATTGAATCATGCATTGTCTCCAACTTAATGCAAAGTGTGCAAAATTTCAGATAGATTGGACAGGTAGTATTGTGTTAAATGGCGATAATAAGATATCTAGCCGACAAAATTAGTTTTTCTAATTTTTTTTTTATATTAAAAATAAAATTGTTGAAATTTTTAAAATTATTTATTCTGCCAATTGATTCATGCATTGTCTCCAACTTTATACAAATGCGCCAAATTTCAGATCGATTGGACAGGTAGAAATGTGTTAAATTTCAATTATCAGTCTTTAAAAGGAATTTAGAACAATCTATTTGAAATAATCGGATTTCATGAATTTCATGAGAAATTCATGAATTTCAAAGTTGAAATTTGTACATTTCGTCGAGTTTTAAGATTTTAGACTGCTTATATAATACATTAGTACGAGTGAATGGATATTGTTTTCATCAAACCTTAACCGAAATATTAAAGGCAAGTATTTATTAATTAACGTGGTGACCCGTTTCTTTGAATTAATAGGTACACAACTCCACATTATCAACGTTTATGATGTTTTCATAAAGGCAATGCGCAGAAAAGAGTTCTAAACGATGGAATACATTAACTTTACTCAGCCCCTGACAGACATATGTAGTTAATATGTTTATTGGAGGAGATCTTGTTGTCTATCATCAAACCAAGAAATCTAAAATCATCTACCCATTTTAAAATTGTCGCATTGAAGGTGATCTCACGTAAAAAGGAAATTGGTCTGGGAGTAAAAAGCATAAACTTAGTTTTATCTGTGTGAGCCACTAGCTTGATTTTTAAAAGCCATCTTGACAAATTCACTACCCGCTCAGAAATATATAATCACATGCTTAATCGTGTGAACTTGGCGAGACATAGAAAACAGCATCGTCGGCAAAAAGTTTGCAGTTCACGTTAAAACATGAGGCGATATCCTTAATAAAATACTAAAGAATAAAGACCCAAAGACAGAACCCTGCGTGGTACACCTATTTTGATGAGTTTTATGGGGGAATTGAACTCGTTCAATGCGACAGTTGATTTTTTCCATGAGACGTCATCAGGATTGAATAGTCTGCAAAGAATAAACGTTCAAATCATAAACATCAGAATTGCACTTTTACAATTTTCAGATTTAAACGATCAAACGCATCATCTGCGTATGTTTATACCACATTAGGGAAGCCTGGTTTCTTATTTTCACTATCATTCTTCAAAAATCGTAATTTATTTTTTGCAATTCTGCCATCATTCCTTTAAACGTCAAGAAGCTACAAATGCTTGCAACTCAGTAACTGAAAATCTTTTGATTGAGCTTTGATAGGCATAACAAAATGATATCAACCTCTATGAATTATGATCAAGCCTTGACAAGGTTCGTAACAAGAAAACAATCGCTATCTCGCATACGTTTTTCGGTTTCAATGTGAATTACAAAACAATTCACAAAATTCACACATATTATTCAGCCTATAATCTAAAGAAAAAATCATAAAATCTAGAGGTAAACTTCAGTCTGCATAGTGAAACTATTCACAAAATTCAAGTTAAAATTTGATAGGTATTAAGATGAAATTCGCAAATTTCGGAGATATAATTCATCGGAGGCAACGTTATAATACGGATGCAGCAACCGAGCAGCTCGTGGCCGCCGCACGAGCGACTCCCACGCTAACGCCCTCGACTGACCGCAACGGTCGTCGGGTGTCGGCGACGCTCGTTTAGCTGGTACCAAATAATGCGGCCGTATATTCTGCTTAATTAATGCCAACATGGTGTTAGGCTCATTGCCTTATGCAAACGATAAACATAAGATACGTATGCGGTACAGTCATCGCCAATTGAGGGACATTTTAAACGATATTTGAGAGATGATCTGGTTTTCTATCGATTCAGAAGTTTGTTGGCAAAAATATGAAGGCTTATAAAGGGCATTGATCTATTTTAATATGCACTCGCTAATTAGATCATGTATAAAGAGTCTCTGTAAATAAAGTCAGATTGCCTTCGTTTAATGGTAAGATTTAATTACAATTACTGTATACTACCGAATGGTTAAAGTTTAGAATACCAAAATTGGAGCAGGTAGTTGCATGTTAGATTCTATATACCTGTAACAATTATAGTTAAAGTGAGCAAAGTGGCCGAGTGGCTAAGAACACTAAGACTGGAGAAATCAGTTTTACGGATTTCAAGCCTTATCTAGCTGTAAAAATAGACTTGGCTAGCTAAGTACATTATACTAGAAATCATGAAAATTTAGCCTATTCAATGCCGAAGCAGCCTAACAATCCTTGGATATAACGAATAGTTTACTAAATCTTCTCTCTTAAGAATACTCTTTAATTAAATATATTTAACGTAGCCTCCAAATCTTCGCTGCTTTTCACTGGATGGCCCAAAACTCAGCACCTAGCAGCGTTGCACTAGACAAAGCATTGTGGGACCCAGCGACGCGCACAGAGGAGCTTGGTAGCCGTCCATTCAGGTGAAAAAATTAAATGAGTCTAAATTTGATGCGTCACCACGATTGCGTGAGATTCCGGTCCCGTGTGACCGATGTCACGTAAAACCAGTTTCAATTGAAGCCTTGGCTTGCCGTGTGCACGAAGTACGAGTACATTTGTAAACATTGTGATGCAAACTTTTCAAATGTAATATGGATTAAGGTTTGTATGATTCACTACTCATACCTGATGACCCAATTTAAGTAAATAATAATCTGTTAATTAATGATGTTGATCTGCAGATCAATGATGAGCAACGAGAGTATAATGACCTTGTGATAAAGCCATCAATCGACGCTACGCTGCAGCCTGCGCCCGAGTTGTTCATATGAGGTCGCAAATCATGGAAGTGTATAGGTTCATAGTTACTAACAGTTATGACGTTTGTGAAAGAATAAACGGTAATTAAATTCAAATATTTATAAGTATTATTTCAGAAAATCTGAGAATGAATTTCGTCATGACAAAGCTGTAAGAAGATGGAATCGAAAGTTGCCCAACGAATTACAACTCTCGAACTACAGTTGTATTCAATGCTATTTCCAAATTTGAATGGCGAATCTAGTGAAAATAAGTCAATAATCCTATCTTTGCGTCTCAAAGCAGTACATTACAGGGTTTTTGTACCGCTATGAATAATATTTGAATTTGAATCAGAATAACATCTTTCATCACTATCACATGTCCGTAACTCGGCCTAATACGAATATGACAACTTACTGAGACGAGAAATCCTGCAATCAATAGGTTTTCACGACATTCATGACTTTCCGTACGAGTGAACATCAATTAACATTTGTATCACTAACCTGCTATCACGAGCACCGCGAGGACAGGCGTCCAATAGAACCTTCTCTCCATTCTCCTTCTTCCTGGGTTATATGCTCCGGAAAATAATATGGTCTGTCACTGATACACAGTATATATAATTTAACCAAAAATGGAAATTCAGCTCTAAAAGTTCTTCTGCCGTCTCCTTATACAGGCACGCGCTCCAGATTCACTGAAAGTAGTGTTCTGTAAAAATTAGTAGATGTATATTTTGATTCAGGTCGTTTAATTATTTTATTCTGATCACTGTATATACGAAATTGCTCTTTCGTATTTATAAATTTTAACACGACAAACATTATCTTAAAATACACACAATATTTGAGAAAGTGACTTTACACACACGCATTGTTCTATAAATCACTGAGATCGAGAAACACGAAATTTTGTTGTTCACATCTAATCATGATGATAAACCTGTCATAACTAATTCTAAGACATAGAGATTTACGCTAACTAGATTCTGCTATTTCTTTCCTGTTTAGCTTCTTTTGCGATAGCATTAAAATCTATGAACTTCATAGCACCATTAAAAAAGTTACTGAAACGGAATAGCTTTTCTTTTACAACTTCATTATGATTTTATCCTTTCAAAAAGTACTTATATCATCGAAACTAGAATTTTCAAAACAACTTTTCCTTTTAGCATACATGAATATTCAGAGAGGTTTTCATAGCCCACCTCGTGAGCAGAAGTCTGGCGAGTGACTGCTCGTGAGCAGCGCTGAGCGTGACAGGCCGTAACACTCTGCTGAACAAACTGTCCTCGCTCAGCCAATGGGATGTGAGCGTTGCCACGGAGCGTTATAACCTCGAATATAACGTCTCTGTGGTGTCACGCTTTGCTCTGATGCAGATCTGACGTATATAGAATACAAGGCGTCTATATATGACAGGCGCTGTTGGTGCACCAGATTTACTAGCTCATGTCTCAGCTATGGAATTCATTAACAATAAGCCCTTGAATCGCCTCAAATAGTTTATTTGTTAGGACCACACCTTGGCTTTTACGATTTTCCGCCACCGCTGAGGGAAAATATTAATGAAATCAAATGTCACAATATTCAGTTAAATAATATAAAAAGTACGAATTTTTGAAGTTTTTACCATCTTTACATCTTAGGCAAGTTTTTGGAAATTGCCCCTTCTATAGACAAATTGCCCCTTCAAATAAGCAACATGTATAATAAAATTTTATTTCGAAGCATCGGATAACGATGCATACAAAAATTGAACATTTTACTTCTATAAAATTTGATCGTGAATTTTTGAATGGAAACTTGTAGGTACTTTTATATTTTTCCAGGAAATACAACAATAAATTTCAATCAAGCATGCTTCTTTTGCATTAATCCCGGATTTTATAACTGCTTTACTTATTTTCTCTACAGTTTTTTAACCGTATGAGGTGCACTTATAATTACGTCTACAACACTGAATTCTAATCAATCGTTATATTTCATCAGCTTTAGGAATCACATTGGATATTTTGATAGATTCGACTGTCAGTATGGGAATCAGTCACGAGATAAATGGCTAATCTAGTAATGCGTAATTCATTGTATGTGGGGTTCATTACACAACGAAACATCTGTTCTGAATTCATTATAATCAATCCGCTTATTACTTGCCTCATTAACAATTATTTCGCATGAATAACAAAACACTCTACGCTTGTTGTGCAATCATTGCATACCAAATCCTGTGTTCTTCGAATCAAATATTCGCTACTGAAAAACTTATTAAAAGGCGGTCTCATATTAGAAAACGGCAACGTTGCTTGATTATTTTTAACAAGAACTCGTTTAATGACGATGGGGAAAACTAGTCGCAGGGTTGCGTGTGTGACTCAAGCACAGAACTGCTGCTGCTTCATTTCCTCCTTCATGACGAACTGATGAATTCTCGTAGCTTCCAGCCTACCAATTCAAGTACCGGGAATACATCCCTGATCAATGCAGCGTCATTTCCCATTACCTTCATGAGGATAAAATTTGGATGCATTTGTTTTATATTCTCATTTAACACATGTTCAAGTGCATATTAAGAGTCTTAATTCGTCTTTTTTCGCTTGTAGAATGTGAATTTTTCAACGATTAATTTGCTCGCATTTCAAAACAGGTCAGTTTTTTGCCACTTTATAAAACGCTCAACAAATCAGTTCTCATTAATGATATAATTTAGGGATTCGTGGTGACGAACAGCCCGCCTCACTTTTTCAAAATTTGAAATTAAAACAACGTAATTCCGCAACCTTGCGATGATATTTTAACTCCCGACGATCTGCAGCAAACAGGAAACTCTGGTGCAAAAATTGGAAGACCTACATCGTCGGAGCGAGTCTCCGCATTTCCGCTGCTACACAATGAATGTCACGCCCTTTAATGACTAAATATTTCAGTTATGATTAGCGTCAGTTAAATTCACAGTTATATAAACTGTACAATACAAATAACAGTACTGCAGGATAACTTCAAACTTATTAAACCTAAACTTAATAATTTGCATTAATCGATAATTTTATATTTCTATTCAGGCAATAAATTTTTAATTTATGTGTGTATAAATGTGTATATGTGTATAAATTTTTAGGAAATATTTTTCAGAATGCCTTAGCACCCAAAATTTGAAAATTCGTTTACATGTCGCTGCCCTACAGTTTGCTGGAAGAGGTCTTGTGAACTGTTCCACGCATATATATACGAATGTGATTAATGACCAGAGAATTTGTTGTTTTAAATCATCAGAGAGTCGAACAATTCTTCAGATGAATTCTCTGGTCATTAGTCACACGTGTGTAAATAAGCAAATTCTCTCATCTAATACTAATGACTACATATACTTATGAAATTTTGCGAATGATTCAGAATAACATTAAATACATTTTACCTGCCAGATAATCTCATTCATTTTATCAATAAATGGAAAAATTAGGTTTCGCTCCATTGCGCTCATTCGTATATCTGGGAACATTTCAAATTTCATGTATCCTCAATTCGGGGTGGGGATGTATTAAGAGTAACCTCCTGATATTGCGGCGACCCATAATTCAGGTCGCTTCAAGTTGGGCTCAAATAATTAGATTTGTTGCATCATCTGATAGCTTTATGCGCAGAAGAAGGAATGGCCCAAAAAATTAAATTTAATTTTAAATGCGCAATTTCAAATTGAATCAGGTTCTCTTAATTCGGTACGAGTTTTGAAATGAATTTTGTTTTATTTTTTAAATGGGGGTTCAAGCGGGATTTTTTATTTTAGATTAATTTTTATTAGCACTTAATACTAAATGAAAGGAATCTGGTCAACGCCAGGCTAACCTGCTACTGATAGTGGAATGAGTATTATTATTTATTAGTACATAATTACATATATAATCTAAAGAAAAGAGTGCAGAAGTATTTTTTCACGGTAAGTCTACGGACTCCATTCGTCGTATTTAACTAACAAAATTAATTAACTTTTTTCGTGTTGAATTTTATTATCTTTCAGAATTGCGGCCAAAAAGACGCATTCACTGCAAAAAAAGTTTCTGCTGACTTTATTAGAGTATTATTCTCGCGGTATAACTTTGGGTAAATTCTATGCTGTATTAGATTTACCAGGAGAGCTCCAACTTAAAAAATCGTTTGCATTATGAAAGACTTGCCGAAATTCGCAAAGCCCGATTACTGATTCCTGACTTTATGATTCAAGGTATAAATATAAGACCCTATACATAATACTTTGTATTCAAAATTTATTTACATTTCATAATGGCATACGAGTGCTTTCAGTTCGCACACTTTCGAGACGTGTATATTTCCAGTTTAGGCCAATTTAGGTCATCACGTCTTCAGTAGTTACTTTCTTAATACATAGAAATATAATTCTGAGAATGGCAATGAGTAATTTTTTACGTTGGGTCCCCTTAAAAATGATGCAAGCCACCAGATTATGTCGTCTCAAACGATGCGTTGCTGCTGACGCGTTGAAATCATCAAAACCTTCAAGACGTAAGATTCATGTGTCTATAGATATATAGACTCTGAATCACATGCTCCCTCAAAGAAATCTGGTCGTTACTGACGGCGTTATACATTTTCTGCTGTCAGAGCCTCAATTCCTCTAGGCTTTTACTGATTGTGCAGGTGCGGAAAACAGGATTTTGATGCTTTTGGCTTGGACTGTTTTATAAAACAGTAGTTAATGGGTTCTAATTTTGTTTCTAATCATGTGACGTAATAGCCTCTCAATTCCTTTTATCTTTTAAAAATTGAATTTCGTTTTATGGTTTTTTAACATTGTGATCATATATTTACGTAAATCGCGAGAGGTAGTCTACATGAATAAAATATCTTTCCGAACGAACAATTTAGCAGAGCAACGTGTGCAGAGATACGCTAGAACCAAGGAGTTAATTGTCAACGGAAGTAAAGAAAACTAATTCCTGGGTCCAGCAAGTATTTGGGCAACCCTGACCTCAAAGAGCAGCATTATAAAACTACTGTACTTTATCGTAAATACACATTTCTTATTGTTTATGCACGGCAAGGTGAGAGTTGCGCAGATCGTTGAGATAAGCTGGCGGCCGTTCCGCTTGTGCGAGTGTGTCAACTACTCGGCGTTCTGCTCACGCGGACGTCGGGAGCTCGGACGACACGCTCCTGCGACCGTCCTAACTGTTCGACACCGGAAGAAAACCGAGCTGCATGGCAGGACAGCGCGCGTGCTGTGCTGGACCTCTCGTGTGAACGCATGCCTTGAAGGCCTTAAAAGGATATACGCTCATTGCAAGCCTGTAAAACCAAGACTATTGCGACTGGACAATATGGAGGTTTACGACTAATTTGGATCTCATAAATAATATACTTGTTTAAATACTTTGTCATTGAGATAATTAAGGAGTTTTCTTATTTCTAGCATTTTCATTATCATTGAGTCTCTATCAGGGCAATAGTCACTTCATTTTAGTTTTCACGTACATTTTATTAGTCATCTGTGTTTTTGAACGAGAAAATTATTCCCTTCAATGAAATTGTCACAATAAATAGATCGATCCACTTTGGCAGTAACTATTTTTTTCAGTTAATTGAGTGGAGACTTCAAGTTTTAAATTTTGCCATGTTAACCATTTATCTTGTTAATCATTTTTATATGATCTCAGACTTTCAAAATAGCAAAACGTTTCGAATTTATACAAAATTTGTTTTACTGCATTCCCATATTTATGATTTAAATATCTCGGTCAAACTCGTTTTGTTAACTTCGGCAGGATTAAACTAAGGTTGAAGTCAATTTGTTTTTAATTTATTTGTGCGATGCAAACTTAAATTATAGAGAACACTGACTGGGACTGATTTACACAAGTGGTTGAAGTCTTTCGAATGTTTCTTAAAGGAAAACCAATACTATTTCCATATTAAATTTAACAGCAACAAAAATGTATAGCTTGCACTAGTAAAGAAAATTGTGTACTAACTTTTTGCGCACCTTTTTAATTCACGCAGTATTTATGCATTAATTAATATCATTAATAGTAGGATTAAATTAAATTTGTTCAAGTCATTTCAAATTGTTCGTGCCGAAATGAGCAAATGAGTAATAATAGCTATTTAGTGATGAAGGTTTTTACATAAATTTAATCTTGATTCTCACATTAATCATTTCAAAAAATACTATCATAAAATCGTGTGAATGTAACTTCGCATCGCGACATATATTCAAAGTCCCAAAAATCAGTCTAAAAACCGACAAAATTATTTCTCCATTTGATATCAGAAAGAAGGCCGGAAAACTCAGAATCTATTAAATGCAGCACGCAGTGACCCGCGCTAATGACGGATGACATAGCCAGATTATTTCGGTTGGTCGTACTTGAAACTTTGCGTTCCTCCTCGACCGTAACCTGGAAAAATAAGACGTTGAAATTTTATCCTCGAGTTAGTGCATGATAACAAAGATCAAATGTAAGCTCATTAAAGGCAATGATGAATTAATAAAACTGCGCAAAAAACTTGATTGCTCTCAGTACGTTTAGGTTATTTTGGAATGACTTTAGAACAAATAACTAACAATTAAGGAAAGCTATTTATATTTTAACATATTCCATCATCCAACCTGGAACAACTATAGTTCCTGATTTTAATTTACAGTACTACTAATATTTCCCTTTATCGATTATTTTATGTATTTCATGAAAACTGGACATGAATATGATCAGGCACCACTGAAAATAAATCATTTCGTGTGTGTTGTAAAAAACATAAAATGTTTGATATTGTAAGATGAAATCCAAGTTAATAATTTTTAGCCACCTCCAAGTAAATAACGTTGAAATATCGTTGATTACGAGTTGATTTCGTAATTACGAGTTATTTTAATAAACAATGTTTCAAGATTAGTTGAGTAAGCGTGTTGTTAGGGACCGCCTGTAAATATAATAATTTTATCGATAGTTAGGTTACGTGTTTTGTCATTTTGTTTTTGAGTTACTATTACGTGGCCTCTTGTAGACCCGCCTGTATCTTGTCATTGTTGTGATCCACCACAGAGGTTAGTGCTTGCATTGTTTATCGTGTTCATCTTCAGTGTTGATATAGTGGTGGCCTTTCTCGTGATATTGTGTTTTTTTATTTATATTGTTTATTTTTTATGTGTGCCATATTCGTTTGTTAGGTTGCGTTAATTCAAGTCCTTGATTGGTATTTATTCTTGCTTTTCAGCGAGGCTCCGATCCTAGGACATGATCAGGAATTAATAGGCAAGGGCCAGAAAGACACACGGTTTATAGTTTTGTATTTTGTTTTCTTCTGTTGATCGTTCATTCATTATTATGATTCTTTATTTATCAGTTTTTATTCATCCTTTATTTGCGATCATTGGCCAAGTGTTCGGGGTCAGAGAATGCTTATTTATTGACTAGTCCCCAACAGTGTCACTGTGACTCCATGTCGCTACATCGACATCTCCCTCACCTCCAGGTCCGAAGAGCGTGCCGTAGCATGGCGTGTTGCAGTAAGGTTTACCCTCGTGCTCTGCGTGAGCACCAGGATTGAGCGTCTTCTTGCAGTGAGCACATTTTAGACAGAAGCCGTGCCAGTCTTTGCCGAGTGAGGTCTTCCTCTCGGCTACAAGTACAAATCAATGAGTTACTAATCAATAATAACGAATTAAAGACGTCCCTATTTAATTGCAACTGATTTTCCCTCATGGAATCGAAATCAATCATCATGACTGATACTTACATCCCTTATAATGCAAGAAATTTACAACACTTCTGAAAGCATTGTACTGGAGTCACGTAATGCAAGCGGAGATTTTGAGGTGGCTCATGCGTCAGGACTTTGCAAGTCATGCTGAGCTGAGTAAGAAGAGGCCCTTATTTGTTCCGCTTCATCCTAGATAAATTGTACCGAAGCCAATACTATATTTGTGTTTTTCTAGGACCGACACCAATCCATCCAGAAGTGAGTTCCAAGTCGGGATATGGTTGATGAATTGTACGAGTAAAGGATTTTTTTTTTCAAAATTTGGCACTGAGTCTAAAAACGGCCATGAAATTTACGGAATCATTTCAAACTCTCGTATAATTCACATTTAAAAACATTAGGTGAGCAAACAAACAATAGCCAAGCAAGAAATGTTTCATAGATAGCAAATTAATTCTAAAACTTCATGGTCACCCATTAAGAGTATCAGAAAACTATTCGTTTGCTCGGCACGTCAGCGTCGTTGCGCAAGAGCTGATAAGGAGAGTTGACTCAGGCACGCAAACGTGGCCAAAACAGACAAATAATGCAATATACGAATAATAATTGTCAATATGAAATCTCTCGAATGTGTTTTGCAAATTATCTAACCATCAAAGTTCTAAACACAACATTCATACGGAGGATGCACATTTTTCTATTTCTTATTTGTACCGTCGCTTATAATAGACAGAGACTATCGAAATACATTGCAAGTATCGTTTGTTTAGGCATAAATTGCGTCAATTTTTTTCATCACGATAAAAACCCTACGGTCGTTTTTACTGGAGAAATTATTCTTGAAGACAAAGAACAGTTGTGCATTGTTCAAAGTGCATATGTTATACCGCAGTGTTTGCTGTAGATCAGGCCATCCAGTGATTAGATTACACAAAGCACATCTGCTCGCTCGAGTGCAAGACCTTCAACATAAGTTCATATCTAAAACCATAAACAAATGACAGTGACGACAATATGAACATAGATGATTTTTACTCACCAAAGTAGACGGGTTTCTCGCAAGCGGGACAATTCACCATGATGATGATGCGAGCTGTGCTGCAATACTGGCCAAACTTCTCCTCAGTGCCTCTCGACAGCTGCACCCACGCATCGTGATCGTCCGTTGGCTCCACACTCAGCTCGGTACCAGGCAGACGTGGGCTGGAGGTCACATCCATGGAATCTTTTGCTTACTTTCCCGGCGTCACATCTGTTCTCTCACTAATTAATTTACGAGTTTAGTTAGTTAGTTTAATCAAGTTAAATATGCACAGGCGGATACTGTCATGATTAACATTTAAATGAAGTAATACTAGTGAACATTCAAAATAAATATACACAAATTGGTTACCGATGTCAATCGGAAGGCCCGTCTCCCATGTAAGCTATTTTAGTGCGTGTTTCTTTTCTGTTGCCATTTTGCAGCGCAAAATCCAGATCGCACCATGCAATAATAAAATGAAAAAATGAGATGGAAATTACCAGTAAGATGAAACCATCAACCTTCAACTTCGTAGCTGAAGTTGAAAGCTCGAAACAACTTTCACTCACGAGAGAAGATTGAAATGTCCATGACGTATAACTGTAAAAAGCTTCATTTGTATCTAAATAGGCGTGTTTTTCGACTGCAAGTACCAGAGGGTCGTCATGAAGGGAGAAAAATACTTATTAAATATTTTTACTCAGCATTGCCGAGAACATCAAACCGTTATCGTAAAATCGTAACTGCACTCTGATTTTTGAGCTAAATTAACATAAATAAAGTGATACCATTGTTATAAAAATAATAAACAAGTGATAAATAAACAGCCTCACAGTCTAATTGTTTAATGAAAACAAACAACTGTCTGCCAGTCATGCATGTAATCGTTCGAGTGCCATGCACTGCGAGGACACTAGAGGCACCTCAGGAAAACACAAAATCTTTATTAAACCAAATCGGCATTTAATTTAATACTTGTCTGTGAAATAATGTATGATTTAAATTTATTTCAATGACTAACTTAATTTATTTACTATTGGGAAGAAATAATAAAAGAATGACAAATTTAAAATATTGTTTTACGTTAATTTACTATACGATAAAAATCACAGTATCAGTATGACTAAAAATACAAGCTGGTAAGTCCGACAGAAATATGTAAGATAGATAATATCATCTTTACAGATGACAGTTCCCACAAATACCTTACAAAATGTACACATATTAATCCTATTGCGTCTAGACTGCTGCATTTCAGTAAAGGCTTTTTGATGGTCACAATGATGCGATTATTTGCTCTCGTATTTATTTGCACTTTGGTAAGTGAACATAGAGTTTTTACTGAAACATTCATAATTTAGGGACTTTGATGAAGTGCAAATGCAAAAGCATTTTGATTTCAACTCTCATATCATTAACTATTTAACTATAATCATGTTGAAAAAATTAAGAAGTCATTGTTCAAGTAATTAAATGAAAATGAAAGCTCTGGAAGAGAACCGATCCTAGCAAAACTTAGCGGCTATCCCTTTAAGCTTCGATTAATTTACATCAAATGCATCAAATAATCAATTTTAAAATGCATTATTATAACAATAGCATTTATGTCTGTAATTTAATAGACGCGGAGGGAAACTTTGATTTGAAAAATATCTTCATGCCAAATGTCCTGAAAATAAATTCTCATGATGTTGCTTTCAAAAAATTGCGGCTGCTATAACCTACCTGGGCATGCTGGAATTCAATATCCTGTATCTAATGGTTTTCAAAGATATATTCTCTCTCTCTCTCTCTCTCGCTCGCTCTTCTTGTCAAAAAAGGCTGCGGCCCAAGTCGCGCCCCCCGTGAAGGTGGCCTTGTACTACGAGACTTTGTGTCCGTACAGTCGAGAGTACTTCGTTGATCAATTGTACCCCACGTATGAACTCATCAAGGATATCATGGATGTCAGCCTTTATCCTTTCGGCAATGCAAAAGTAAGTTGCCTTGGCGCAAGAAAATTTAGACGTGAGCATTGAAATAAACTACAAAAAAGTTCTGTCTAAACAGTCGAAAGGTCGACAATATGGAAGAAAACTAGACACATAAAATAATAATTGAAATTTATTGATGATTGAGATAAATAAATGACTTAACGCACTATTTTGTTGATCAGTACGAGCCGACAGCCGAAGGTGGCTATACTTTCACCTGCCAACACGGCGATGACGAGTGCAGAGGTAACATGATCCACGCATGCGCTCAGAAGTTCCTGCCCAACATCGACGTGGAGATGGACTTCGTGAACTGTCTTCTCGCCGCTGATTATCCGCCCAACGCTGGACCGCTTGTGAGTATCTCATTTTTATTCATATGATGGTTATTTCTTGCTCTATAAAGCTTTGGTGCCCAATATTGGCCCAATGCAAGACCGCAGGGGAGCAATAAACTTTTGCATAGACTTGAACGTCAAGCGCTAGATAAATACTTCACTTAGATCACTTTAATTAATTTTTTAATTTTCTTTAATTTTTAAGTACACACTTTGAGAAATGATTCTACCTTGTATTTCCTACTAATGAGTATTAGATAGAAATAAGTTTGCTCCGAATGATTTTTTGAAAAACTGTTGAGCAAGTACAAAGTTTCGCGGTTTAATGGCGCTGCGTAAAACTAAAAATTTTGTTTAACTCCCAGTGCGCCGAACTCGTTGGCCAAGACTGGACTCCGATAGGTGCCTGCGTTGATTCCTTGGAGGGCCAAGAGGCGCTTCACGCAGTTGCTCTTGAACAGGAAAAGCTTGACCCAACTCTCTATTTCGTGCCCTGGATCCTGGTCGACGACGTACGTATTAAGCATTTGTAACTAATTTATCCTAACACATGTAATTACAGCATAGTAGTCGAAGGCATTCAAAGCACCTATTCAATACCAAAATATGTGATGTGATAACGCCAAAGAGTTGAAATTTAAATTGAATCTACATGAGTTCAATTTAGCATAATGCTCGTTTTTAACACGTCTGCAAACTTTTTTCCATTGCTCGCATGACTCATTCACGTGAAAACTTTGCAGACATTCAGCGAAGATCAAGTAACGGAGTGCCAGACTGACATGTTGGCAGTGACCTGCTCTCACTACACTGGCCCGCTTCCTGAAAATTGCATTATTCCAATAGCTAAGTCACCTAGGACCGCGAAAGTCGTGGGTGTGACCAGACAGTAGAAATTATATCATACTAACTCTATGGTAATAACTTACCTTGCGTGATTCATATGGGCTGCTGTTATTAAAAAATTTTTAAGGCATTTATAATAAACAAAACGAGTTTTTTTTCCCAAAATAGAGGTATAGACGAGTCATTTGCCTTCTGTGGTATATTGTACCAATTCCGACTGTCCGTCGGACCAAGCTTTTTTCTTTTGGTTTTCAGTGGGTAATCGGTCTCAAATTTGAATCTTTTCAAGCTTGAGTATAAAATAAAGAAAGGCTATGATTGTCATAGATGCGTTTTTAACCCTTAGTGAAAAAGTGACGAACATTTTGAATTAATTTCACTTTATTTAAACGGAATTATTTTTTACAAATGAATTTATAGTCACGAGGCATTACTTACAATTATGATATATTCTAATGACGGTCAAACCTGAGTGATTTGAAAAAAATTTGATCAGTACTCACTGCAGTGAAAGTGACAGAGAGCGCATTTTCTCGTCCGTCCGTCCCTGAAAGGCTGAAGTCACGGACGGACACGACGAGCACAATAGCGCCTTTTTTCCATAAATGAGAAAATGCGCCAAAAAGAATAATAAAAAGTGATGTCGATTTACAAAGCTGTTGAATTCCTACGGGCAGAAAACGGATATTGCAAGTTTGAACAAGATTTTGGTTGTGTCTTTGTCTCACTGATTCGAATCTAAAAAAAATTACGACCTAAGCATCACCGTTATAGCCTAATAAATTAATTTGCACAGTTTTATTGAGCTGCGTTCATTACTCTGAGAGATATTGAAGACGCTTAGAGCAAATTTGACAGTCGGCCACAGAGATGCCGGTCGCTTCTCCGTTTAGGGGTATGTCCCGCAAGCGAAGGCGATATGGAAAAAATTTCCACGACCTAAATATCACTGTTAGATGGTTACTGTAAGATGCAATCTATATTCAATATTTCGTCAAAATCTGTTCTGAAGTTTGAGAGAAATTTCTAGGTCACATTGAATTTCGGCCTGTATCGCCGCGTAATTCAGGAATTAAGGCAAAACCAACAAAATTTATACGAGCTAAACATCACCGTTATGTCCCAATGAATACATATACCAAGTTTCATTGAGATGCGTTCCCTAGTTTTGGAGCTATTTCTTGGTCACTGAATTTGGAGACTGGCCGTGAAAGTGTCCGAGACGTGAACGTAACCTTGAAAATACTTTCCTAACGGTGATGATTAGGTCAATGGAAGCGAACTGTACTAAGATGATGATTCTTAATAAAAAAAAAATACATTGATTTATTGGATTTCGCGTATAGATTTATAAGTCGCAAACGAAAGCGAAATAAAAAAAGATCACGACCCCTAACATCACTGTTAGACCCTATTAAGGGGATCGGCTACCCTCCAGAAAAACTTCTACAGTTATTATCCGATTATCATGAAACTTCACATACATACGTAAAAGGTAAAAAGAAAAACATTTTGCTCCTATGTATTTTTCGAAAAAATGACTAAGCATGTAACTGCAGCACAGCTCAAGTAGAAACTATATTCAAAGATTTCAGCAGCTAATTACTTTATATCTAATTACTTAAAGAACTCTCCCACCCGCTTCCCTTTAAAGAGACGTCATGAACGTAAATATTGGCGTACAGCGATGGCAGTGATACCATTGGAAAGAGCAAAATTCCAGCTTTCAGATGAGCACAAAAACCGAAAAAACGCCAAAATTGAAAATTTAAGGGTAGCCGATCCCCTTAAACACGTGTGCGAACATTTCATCCAGCGTCGCTCACCATTAGTTGTGTCCAACAGATGATACAAATATCGGACAAATTTACTGTGAGATGGAAACAAATTCCATTTCACCTTCATTCGCAAGTTATAGAGCAATTCGGGCCGTAATGAGCAGTGACCAAGAAATTTCTTCTGAACTACCGAACAGATTTGAACGAAACTTTGAATATACATTCCTAACCTGCCAACGGTGATGTTTAGCTCTTGATAATTTTTTTGTAAGTTTACTTTAATTTTTGAGATTTTTTTTTTTGCTGTTTCGACCTCATTCGCAAGTTATACAGCAATACGGGCCGAAGTAGACAGTGACCAACAAATTTCTTCTAAACTACCCAACAGATTTGAACAAAATTTAGAATATACATTCCTAACCTCTCAACGGTGATATTTAGCTCGTGACAATTTTTTGCTTTGTTTTCGTTCGCAAGTCATACGGATATGCGGAGAAACGACCAGCATTTCTGAAGGCGACTTTTAAATTTGCATTGACAAAGAATTTTTTTGAAAAAGTGTTGAGCAAGTACAAAGTTTCACGGTCTCTTAATGGCGCTGCGTAAAACGAAAAATTTTGTTGACCTCCCGGTGCGCCGAGCTCGTTGGACTGGACTCTGATAGGAGCCTGCGTTGATTCCTTGGAGGGCCAAGCGGCGCTTCACGCAGTTGATCTTGAACAGGAAAAGCTCGACCCTACTCTCTATTTCGTATCCCAGTCATACGTATAGACGTATCCAGTATCCCAGTTATACGTATAGCCGTATAACTGGCAAACGAAAGCCAAATCGAAAAAATTGTCACGAGCTGAACATCACCGTTGGGAGGTTACGTTTGCCCATTATAAGTTTCATTTAAATCTGCTCAGTGGTTTAAAAATATTTCTTAGTCACTGCAAATTTCAGCCCGAATCTTTTAACAAACGAATGAAGGTGAAATGGAGAAAAGCCCGTAAACGAACGTAAAAGCGAAAAAAATTTCACAAGCTTAACATTACCGTTGAAAGGTTAGGAATGTATATTCAAAGTTTCGTTCAAATCTTTCAGTAGTTTATAATACATTTTTTGGTCACTGCAAAGTTCGGCCCGAATTGCCGTATAATTCACGAATGAAGGCGAAATTTTTGCGAGCTAAACATCAATTTAAAAAAATTTCATGGGCTAAACATCACCCTTAGGTTCTGATGAATACGTGTACCAAATTTCATCGAAGTACAATAATTAGTTTGGGCACTTTGGGAGATATTCGTTGGTCACTGAATTTGGATATTAGCCGTGAGACCGGCCGCGAGTCCGGCCGTAAATTTGTCCGATTTGTTTCACAAACAACACCCCTCCGGTCTCTGCTTTAATTGTCACTATTAACTGCTAACCTTTTTATTGTAAACTCCAGAGTCCAGTCAGAATGCTCTTTTTCAGAATCACCAAGCCCCAAATCCGAATCCATAGTGCCCGATTGATGGCTACGTAGAACGCTTATGGTTTTTCGAAAGTATGGAAGCATTTAGCATCGTTTAAATTCTCTAGAACTGACATCGTTTTCTTCCACAAATGTGTTTGAAATAGCAAATATATATTCCCAAGGCTTTTGCTGGGGACATCCCTATCAAATTACCTTTTTATAGGAATATTCAATTCCGCTTACACGGTTGATTAGCCTCTACCATGGTTGAATTAATTTCAACCATGAGTTTCTACGGCCTTCTCAATTGAAATTTACGGCTAGCTCATTGAAATATATTCACAAATAAATGTAAAAATATATTTTATTTTTGGACGAAAATGCATTGATGGTCAATTTTGGGGTAACTTGAAGTTGATGCTAATAATCCGTGTAAATGTATACATACTGGCGGTAAATTCAATAGAATTGTTTTTTCTACCTTTTTACGTCATTTAGTGCATATAATATTGAAAGTGACGGTATTTGAAACAAGTAATGGGGTGCATTTAAAGAAGTTGAATACAAATGGTCAGCTGTATAAAGTAATGGCTTATTATTTACGATATTGGATGAAATTTAAAAGAGTTTTTCCGCCTGAGATCATTGAGGTGTAGTTGGTGCAACCTACCTACCGGCTACCAATACCATTACCACCTAGGAGGCTAGGTTGAAAACGATCATAGGTTCTGCCTATCGTAGCAATCATAAGCAATGATAGATAGGTAGCTCAAGCTAGGGCTAGGCGTCAGATGATTTTCTGGGATTTTGTCCGTGATCATGAATTCATGATTCTGGCCAGAACAAATATTAATGAAATATGAATAGCTTCAAGGTACACATGACAAATTGACGATGTATCAGCATTATGTACCTAAAAGTCTGTAAAGACAATCACAATGTTACTAATCCATTCTGTGTGGAATTTCTGACAACAGCTAGGCCTATGTCTAGAGAGAAGTCCTATGAAGAAAGATTGAAGATTATGAAGCTTCCAACTTCCAAGCCTCAGTTATTGATGTCTGCATGGGGACCTTATTGAAGTATACCTACAAGTATACTCATGGTCTATACAAGATCCCTGAAGAGTAACTAGAATTTGAAACAAGAACCAACACCAGGGGCCACGGCTATAAGCTAAAAAAATTGCGCTGCAACTTCTCCACGCGACAAAATTTTTTCTCGCTTCGAATCACCGACATGTGGAACATCCTCCCCGATGACATCGTTGGAGCTCCAAGTATGAACGCGTTCAAGAACAGACTAGATCATAGTGACAAATCACAGAATTTTAAGAATCAGTTCATTTTTAATTTCCTCATTTACTCATGATTTAAACCAGTTTCATATGTAGGTACTAGGATAATGCAGGTATCCAGGACATGGTGCCAATCCATAGGTTATTCAAAAGAACCTGTTCTTATGTCATTTTGAACTGATCAACACTTCTTTATGGAGATGGACCGATCGTAAAACACACCTTCACCGGCAAAAGCTTTCACACTTCTGAAGAAGGTGAGCTGACTAGTCTGGAAAAGTCCTATTTTTGTCTGAAATATCGCGGCTCTAATATCATATAATTTCAGTAGGTATGAAATCTCGCGGCTCAAATGTCATAAATTTTTGTTTGATTAAAAAATCGCGGTTTGCACTTCGCAAACATGTCATTTCATAAAATTTTCAACTTCCGCAATCCGCATTGCTT